CCCTCAGAATATCTTAGCAGCTTCATCTTCTGGTCTCTGAAAAAATTGGGTTCCAAATGTGCTGCTATGCAACAGAGGCAACAGACTAGATGCCGCCAAGCCACAGCTGTGGCGCTGACAAGATGCTGAGTGAAGAAAAAGTAAAGCAGGATGAGCTCATTAGCTCCTTTTGTTTGTGTGTGTGTGTGTGTGTTTATTTTGTTTTTTCTGAGACAGAGTCTCACTCTGTCGCCCAGGCTAGAGTACAGTGGCGCCATCTCAGCTCACTGCAACCTCCACTCCCGGGTTCAAGTGATTCTCCTGCCTCAGCCTTCCGAGTAGCTGGAATTACAGGCTCACATCACCACACCCGGCTAATTTTTTTATTTTTTATTTTCATTTTTAGTAGAGACGGGGTTTCACAATGTTGATCAGGCTGGTCTCAAACTCCTGACCTTGTGATCTACCCTCATCGACCTCCCAAAATGCTGGGATTACAGGCGTGAGCCACCGCGCCCAGCCCTGGTCTTTTAGTTTTTGGGGGGTTTTGTTTTGTTTTGTTTTGCACAGGGTCTCCCTTTGTTGCCCAGGCTGCAGTGCAGCGGTACAATCATGGTTCACCGAAGCCTTGAACTCCTGGGCGCAGGTGATCTTCCTGCCTCACTCTCCTGCGTACCTGGGACTATGGTTGGACACCAACAAGGTCAGCTTTTTTTTTTAAATTTTTTGTAGAGACAGTCTCACTATGTTGCCCAGGCTGGTCTCGAACTCCTGGGCTCAAGTGATCCTCTTGCCTTCGCCTCCCCAAAGTATTGAGATTACAGGCATAAGTAACTGTGCCTAGCCCAATAGCTAGCTTATTTTTAAAAGCAATTTTAAAAATATATATCTTAGAGATATTTTTCTATTAGTATACAGAGAGGTGTTTTGTTTTTTGGGTTTTTTTTTTTTTTGGTTCTTTTTGTTTTGTTTTGTTTTTTGAGTCAGAGTTTTGCTCTTGTTACTCAGGCTGGAGTACAATGGTGCCATCTTGGCTCACTGCAACCTCCATCTCCCGGGTTCAAGGATTCTTCTGCCTTAGCCTCCCAAGTAGCTGGGATTACAGCCACCTACCACCATACTCTGCTAATTTTTTTTTTCTTTTTTTTTTTTTAAGTAGAGACGAGGTTTCACCATGTTGGCCATGATGGTTTTGAACTTCTGACCTCAAGTGATCCACCCATTTCAGCCTCCCAAAGCCAACGTGCTAGGATTACAGGCATAAGCCACTGTGCCTGGCCTATAGCTTCCTTATTTTAATTTTTTGGTTTTTTTTTTGAGATGGAGTTTCGCTCTTGTTACCCAGGCTGGAGTGCAATGGCACGATCTCGGCTTACCGCAACCTCCGCCTCCTGGGTTCAAGCAATTCTCCTGCCTCAGCCTCCCGAGTAGCTGGGACTACAGGCGCGTGCCACCATGCCCAGCTAATTTTTGTATTTTTTTTTATAGCTGCATAGTATTGCACCGGATTAAAGTCTCATTATTTAGCAGTTCTTTGTTGACAGGTGTTTCCAGTCTTTCATTATTATAAATAATGCTGCAATAAATAACATTATGCATATGTCATTTTATCCCAGTAAAATATTTTTATATAATAAATTTCTAAAAGTAGGATTATTGGGCTAAACAGTATATACATCAGTAATTCTGATAAAAAGGAAATTCCCCTCTATAGGGGTAATAATAATTTGCACTCCCACAAGCAAGAGACTGCTGTTTTCCCCTACAGCCTCGTAAACATCGTGTGTGGGCAACTTTTTACATATTTCTTTTCTTTTTTTTTTTGAGATGAAATCTTGCTCTGTCACCAGTCTGGAGTGCAGTGGTGCAATCTCAGCTCACTGCAACCTCTGCCTCCTGGGTTCAAGCGATTCTTCTGCCTCAGCCTCCCGAGTAGCTGGGACTACAGGCACACACCACCATGCCCAGCTAATTTTTGTATTTTTAGTAGAAATGGGCTTTCACAATGTTGGCCAGGATGGTCTCTATCTCTTGACCTCACGATCTGCCTGTCTCGGCCTCCCAAAGTGCTGAGATTACAGGCATGAGCCACCGCGCCCGGCCTTTTTACATATTTCTAATCTGGTAGAAGAAAAATGGTATCTCAGCAAAGCTATAATTTGCATTTCTCTTAAGGAAAATGAGACTGAGCAACTATTCATTTTTTGCTTTTGCTTGCATTTTATTTTCTATATATATGATATATATATGTTCCCAAAGAATATAAAGAGATAGTTATATATATGTACACACACACAACCACACCACACAAACAAACAAAAGCAATATCTATATTTATATATATATATACATTTAGGTCTCACTATGTTGCCCAGGCTGGAGTGTGGTGGCTATTTGTAGGTGGGATCATCAGGCACGACAGTCTGGAACACCTGGGTCCAATCAATCCTCCTACCCGAGCCTCTTGTCCTTGCCTGTTTTTGTACTGAGCATTTTTTCTTATAAAATTCTTTTTTTTTTTTTTTTTTGAGACAAAGTCTCACTCTGTTGCCCAGGCTGGAGTGAAGTGGCAGGATCTCTGCTCACTGCAACCTTCATCTCCCCAGTTCAAGCAATACTCCCACCTCAGCCTCCCAAGTAGCTGGGATTACAGGCACTCGCCACCACGCCTGGCTAATTTTTGTATTTTAAGTAGAGACAGGGTTTCAGCATGTTGGCTGGTCCCAAACTCCTGACCTCAGGTGATCTGTCCACCTTGGCCTCCTGCTGGGATTACAGGCGTGAGCCACCGCACCCGGCCTCTTCCTGCTCGTTATCAGTGCCTCTTTGTGTGTGTGTGTGTGTGTGTGTGTGTGTGTGTGTGTGTCTGTGTGTGTGTGTGTATGTTTATTTACAAAGTAATTACAAAATAATTGTATTAAACTTACTCCATCCCTGTGGAAGTTTGTAAGTGCACTTTCCTATCTCTTGCACAGCTCCCTGAGCTTCTTCTGTCTTCCAAGGATGGTGAATGAGGTGCTGACATGGGAGTCTCCAAGTTCCCAGCCTGCTCATCCCCACAGCAGCTTCATTCTCTCCTTGGCCCCCCTCCCCCATCCACTTTTCTCCTGCCCCTCATCCACCCCTCCAGAGACATCACACTCTAGGTTTCACAGGGCTTCAGAATCTTGTTGGGAACCTGGATCATCACCTTATCCCCCGAAAGAGTCCTGGTTTCCCTGTTTCTGTTTTTTGGAAGACTAGGTCCCAATATATCAACGTGGATTCAAGATCTCTCAAAGTGATCAAGTGGTCGGTGAAAAGGAAAAAAAAAAAGGCGAAAAAAGTTTTCTTCAAAGCTGGGTCCAGGGGAGACACCACATAAAGCTGCTCTGTGGATGTCTAAAATTCCCCGGAAAATCTCAGTTTTTTATTAGACTCTTTCAATAGGGGAGGGGGAGTGAGGCCATACAACAGTGTGGCAATGATCATACAAAAAGAATACATTTGCAAAACTGGTGCACAAAAATCACAGTGTGATATTATAAAAGCAGAACAACGTAAAGATAGCTTTCTGTGTGTCAGCATAGAAACCATACACCTTAGCAAGAACAGAGGTTAAACATAAACTTATAATCATCAGCAAGAAAAGCATTGGGCTCACAGCTGCAGGGGCAACAGGATCTGACACAGGACAACCAGCCCGACCACAAAACTGCAAGAGGGGGGAGCCCCCCAAGCAGGCCTGGAGGAGCAGCGGGAGAAGAAAGACTTTCACATCCTTATCTCCACCACAGAGGTTTTTCCTTACGACAGACGCCCCCCTCATGCGTCCATTTACAGGTTCTCCATAAGGGTTGCATTCCCTTCCCAGGGCCGTAATCAATATGCCTTTCCTGGGAAAGGAATCTGGGCAATAAGCCTCTCCATTACACGTCCGTTTCTAGGCTCTCTGCAACAGAGAAGCTTACTATGTGTTGTCATCTCTCTCCGGCACAGGCTACGTGGCTTGTCTCTTCAAGTTCCTGTTTTTACAAGAACAGCTCAGTGGAGCCAAAGTTACAAGCTACATTTTAACTTTTCACATTATTCTTCATTTTCTCAAATATAATGAATACAGTAAGTAACAGGCATCACAAAGCAAGTAACTCATTTCCGGAAAACCAAATTCTAAGAGAATTTACAAGTTAAAATTCAACAATTTCTTCTTGTTATTTCAGATAGCTCGGGCTTTGCCAGTTCCTCCAGAAGTTTGGAGTTGCTCAGTCACCACCAAGGGGTACACAGTGTTCCCAGCATCTGTTAGTGACATAGCCGGGAGGGACATCCAGGACTTGCCTGGGAGTTGTTGCTGGCCCACGCCTCAGGTCTGCTAAGCATTTCCTGAATCACCTTAATGTCTGGCCTTCCATCTTCTCCTGTTCTTCCTTACCTGGACTCTAACCCCTCCCTACAGCATGAGTAGAGGGGCTGTTTGTCACATTCTACCCATCCTTCATCCCCAGGACACCCCCTCTTTTCCTCCTGGAAGCCCTCCTCCCTCTCCGGCCACTCCTCCAGACCTCAGGTTAAAGCCCCACCCTCCAGGAAGCCGGCTCTCACCTTTCACATTGGCCAAGTGCCCTGGACACCTAAGCTGCGGGTATTTCTCTTTCCACCTTATAATTTTCGGCTTCGTCCCGTCTCTCCTACTGACCACACCTTGAGAGCAGGACTGTCTTCTCCACTGATGTACTTCGAGAGCCTGCACAAAAGAGTGTGTGGGCTAAAGCAACCAGTGGTTCTCCCAGCTAATGTGACTGCTCCTTATTTGGAACCTTTGAAGCTCTCCATCCAGGATGTCTCTGGAGGGCTAAAGTGTTCCAGATGGAATTGGAACCCTCCCAGGTCTGATGCGCAAGCTTTTTACCTTGACTGTCTTCCTACCACCCTCTTCCGTCACCGAGGCCCTCTACGAACTTCAGTTTACTCATCTCTCAAGGAAGAGAACAGTCAGGGGAGAAGTATAAGGGCCAATTGAACCATATACGTGTAAATAATAATGTGATAAGGCTGTGCGGCCACTGCCACATCGTCCGCTGCAGGTGGCGTTGGTGTGCTTGAGCAACCAGAACTGGAGCATGGAGGTGCACAACATTCTCAGCAAACGGGGATTCCACGTCCAGTCCTTTGGAACAGGGACTCAAGTGAAGCTTCCAGGACCAGCTGCAGACAAGCCCAATGTTTATGATTTCAGAATCCCATATGACAGGACGTACAATGATCTTAGGAAAGACAAAGAACTCTATACACAAAATGTCATTTTGCATATGCTAGACAGAAACAAGAGAATCAAGTCCCGGCCAGAAAGGCTCCAGAACTGCACAGACCTGTTTGATCTGATCCTCACTTGCCAAGAGAGAGTGTACGACCAGGTGGTGGAAGATCTGAATTCCAGAGAACAGGAGACCTGCCACCCAGTGCACGTGATCAATGTGGACATCCAGGACAAGCACAAGGAGGCCACCCTGGGGGCATTTCGCATCTGTGAGCCCTGCCAGTGTATCCAGCACACGGAGGACATGGAGAACCAGATTAATGAGCTGCTGCAGGAGTTTGAGGAGAGGAGCGGGCTTACCTTCCTGCACAGTCTGCTTCTACTGAGCACGGAGCCCTCCTGGGCCACCTTCTCCAGCTTCCTTTTGTTCATACTTTCTCCTCCCTGACGTTTGTTTTTACTTATAGGTGTTCTGCTGGTGACGGTAGCGTTACCCAGATAAACTGTGCATATGAAACGGGAGGAGATGTCTAAACGCCACATTAAAGCAATCAAGTTTTTTCCTTCCCACTTTTAGAGCAGGATATTGATGGTAGTATTTTTCTTTAACCAAAATGGAAAGACAGCAGTTTGTGTTCACTTCCCTGCCTCCGGGCACCCCCTCCCTCCCTCCTCCCCACTTGGCCACACTGCACAGACTCCGCTGCCACCATGTTAGGAATGACCTGGAATTGTCCAATAAATAGATGCTGCTGTCAAAATAATGATAATAATAATAATGTGATAAGCCAGATGTGGTGGCTCACACCTGTAATCCCAGCATTTTGGGAGGCCGAGGCGGGCAAATCACGAGGTTAGGAGTTCAAGACCAGCCCGGCCAACATGGCGAAACCCCTGTCTCTACTAACAACACAAAACAATAGCTGGGCATTGTGGTAGGTGCCTGTAATCCCAGCTACTCGGGAGGCTGAGGCAGGAGAATTGCTTGAACCTGGGAGGTGGAGGCTGCAGTGAGCAGAGATCACGCCATTACACTCCAGCCCAGTGATAGCATGAGACTCAGTCTCAAATAATAATAATGTGGTAAATGAATATGAGTTATGGGGTATAACAAAAAATGCTACTAGTCTGAATATTTACATTGTCATGTTTTCTTTATTTTTTTATTTTTTCTTTTTTTTCAGATGGAGTCTCGCTCTGTCACCCAGGCTGGGTATGATCCCAAAGTGCTGGGATTACAGGAGTGAACCACTATGCCCAGCCTGACATGCTTTCTATACCAGATACCATTCTAATATTTAACCTGTATTTTGCCCTTAATCCTAACAAATTGGCTGCATTTCACAGAAAAGTGAACTGAGGCACAGAGTGGTTAATGACTTATTTGCCTAAAATACCATACTGGCAGTAGCGGAGCTGGGATTTGCACGTGGGCACCATAGCTCCAGAGTCCATTTGCTTAACTATCACCCCATATTGTCTTTCTATGAAATAATACTATTACTATTACTTGATCTCAGAGCTGCCCTCTCCACCAAAAATGAATCCAGTCACACAGCCGCTCTCTTCCAGCATGATTCTAACTCTAATAATAAATTCTGGCCCACCACGGTGGCTCACATCTGAAATCCCAGCACTTTGGGAGGCCAAGGCCAGCATATCACCCAAGGTCAGGAGTTCGAGATCAGCTTGGCCAACATGGTAAAAACCTGTCTCCACTAAAAATTCAAAAGCAGCAGGATGTGATGGCACATGCCTGTAATCCCAGTTACTTCAGAGGCTGAGACAGGAGAATTGCTTGAACTCAGGAGGCGGAGGTTGCAGTGAACTGAGATCGTGCCACTGCACTCAAGCCTAGGAGACAAGTGCAAAACTCCATCTCAAAAAAAAAAAAAAAAAAAGAAAGAAAGTAGTTTCTGGTTTCTGTGGGTAAAGTTTTGTGCAGGTATCCACTTTCTTGGAGATATGTTCAAAATGTAGCAGCTCTTTAAAAAGAACTATTCCCATGTTTTCTGTTCTTTGCTATTTGTGCTATCAGATCCAAATAGAATACTCATCAGGTGAACTAAACACAGAGAAGTTTAACAACATCTGTTGTCATAATTGGTATGGACTTGCCTTTATGGTATTGACAAATGTGTTTTCCCCAAACCTACCATTCCAGGTCCTCATCGCTCTTAGAATGAGTTCTCCAGTCCCTTCCCTCATATTTCCAGAATTCTCTTATTAAGAGGAAGATGGGGCAAGGGTGGAAGGAAAGAGGCCAGCTTGGAAGGGGCATTCACTGGATTTTCAAGGAGCAGGAGGAGAGTGATAAGCAGAGCTCTGCTGGGCACCAGCAGTCCTTCTGGGCCATGGTGAAGACAGCAGGTTGTGCTCCCAGGATTGGCATGGGGTGGCTTGTCAAGGTCAACCCCAGCCTCCCTCTTTGCCCATCCTGCTCCCTCTCCCCTGATGGCAGCCTCACCTCCAGCAGGATTCCTCATCCCTGGCACAAAGAGCCAACTCCTGCCTATGGGGGCTGGAGAGGAAAGGCAGGGCGGAAAGGGGTCAACTCTTAACACCCAAGGAAACACTGAGGACAGAAAGGAGGATACGCGGGGCCAGCTAGAAGCAAGGGGCCTACCTGCCAGCGCCACGCTCCCTAACTGCCAGGCCACACTGCCTCGATTTCTGGGGAGCCAGAAACTTGTAGGAGGTCAGGAAGAAAAGGGAGGGAAAAAGATGGAAGAGAGTTTGGGGGATTTGGAGAAAGAGGGCAGCGGTTGGGGAGACCCGTACATGTTCCACACCATGCTAAACAGATGGTATGCAGAATAATACTAAAATACAGAGGACAGCAAATAATATATAGAATACTGCCATATATTCGCCACCAAGATCAAAGTGTCAACGGTTTGTCTTATTTCTTTCCATTTTTTTTTTTTTTTTTTTGAGATGGAGTCTTACTCTGTTGCCCAGGCTGGAGTGCAGTGGCACGATCTCAGCTCACTATAACCTCCTCCGCCTCCCCAGTTCAAGCAATTCTCCTGCCTCAGCCTCCTGAGTAGCTGGGATTACAGGTACGCACCACCACACCCAGTTAATTTTTGTATTTTTGTTTGTTTGTTTGTTTGTTTTTGAGACGGAATCTTGCTCTGTTGCCAGGCTGGAGCACAGTGGCACAGTCTTGGCTCACTGCAACCTCTGCCTCCCGGGTTCAAGCGATTCTTCCGCCTCAGCCTCCCAAGTAGCTGGGACTACAGGTGCATGCCAAACGCCTGGCTAATTTTTATTATTTTTAGTAGAGACGGGGTTTCACCATGTTGGTTAGGATGGTCTCGATCTCTTGACCTCGTGATCCACCCGCCTCTGCCTCCCAAAGTGCTGGGATTACAGGCGTGAGCCACCGCACCTAGCAATTTTTGTATTTTTAATAGATATGGGGTTTTGCCATGTTGACCAGGCTGGTCTCCAACTCATGACCTCAAGTGTTACGCCCACCTCAGCCTCCCAAAGTGCTGGGATTACAGGCACCAGCCACTATGCCCTGCCACTTTCTTTATAGTCCCCTCCCCTCCTTGTGGAACTTTGCCATCTCTGCCCCTCCCCCTGAGAGGGAGCCACTCTCCTGAAGTTCTGTCTTTTCAGTCTATGCTGTTATTGTGTGTGTGTGTGTGTGTGTGTGTGTGTGTGTGTGTGAGAGAGAGAGAGAGAGAGAGAGAGAGAGAGAGAGACAGAGAGAGAGAGAGAGACAGGGTCTTGCTCTGTTGCCCAGGCTGAAGTACAATGTTGTGATTGTGGCTCACTATAGCCTCAACTTTGCATATCCATCTTTGTGGGATATGCAACCACAAAAATATATATTATTGCTCACGTATCATAAATTCTTACAAATATGATGTAATGTGGCCCAGATTCTTTTGCCATTTGGTTTTATTTTGCTCACATCATGTATCATGTTTTTGATACTTATCCCCCTTGATACATGAGATAGTACTTCATTTTATCTGCTGCATAGTATTCCGTTTTGTGAATAAATCTAAATTTCCTTTTCTATTCTCCTATTCATGGACATTTAAATTGTTTCTAATTTCTTTGTTGTTGTTGTTATTATGAAGAACATGAGCCGCGCACGGCAGCTCATGCCTGTAATCCCAGCACTTTGGGAGGCTGAAGCGGGCGGATCACAAGCTCAGGAGATCGAGACCAACCTACCCAATATGGTGAAACCCCATCTTTACTAAAAATACAAAAATTACCTGGGTGTGGTGGTGGGCGCCTGTAATCCCAGCTACTCAGGAGGCTGGGGCAGGAGAATCACTTGGCCCAGGGAGGCAGAAGTTACAGTGAGCCGAGATCGTGCCATTGCACCATTTCATCCTGGGCGACAGAGCAAGACTCTGTCTCAAAAAAAAAAAAAAAAAAAAAACACCAGAACATGAATGGA